TTAGTGTTAAAGAGCAAGCACGTCTTCCTCCCTCTCTCTTTCAGCTGCCACCGCTGGCTAGCCCTCATGGCGAACAGGGAAGCAACTTGCATAAGTCCCCCCTGTCAGTACACAGCCTCGTCACAATCAAGACTCCTGCTGTGCCTCCTTGTGGCAACACACGGTAACTAGGTGCCTCGTACGCCCAGGCTAGATCAGCAGGGGATCTCGGAGTAGCAGTGGGCCCCAGATGGATGGCACACAGGCTCACTGGCATGTGGACACGTCCTGGCGCCTACCAACCACCGCCCGCTGCCTTGCGAATTAATCATGGTAGGCACAGTATAAGGCTTTGGGAGTAAACCCTGAACGAAAAATCTGTGGTGGAGCCCCGCATCAGGTAGACATGCTTACAGAGCTCCAACAAGACCCCAACGGTGATATAGGCGGAACAGGTGACCACCATGGGAACCCAACGAATACACCGGCGGACGAAGGCAATGCCTGAAGGACGGGCTACTAAGGCAAAACCCAACAAACTGGGCTATCGGCAGTCCATTCCAACTCTCCCTCTCCCCAGTTGTTGCAACACTTGCACCACTGGATCAGGATAAGGGAGAGCCAAGATGTGTGGTTGCAGCCTGTGCTCTTGCCTCACCACATAAATCAACACACACACAGCCATCACCCAGCTTATCATACCTCTCATCATCATCAAACTTCTATACCCCCAAAACGTCTATGGCAATGAACGAGTGGCGACAGGGACAGGCAGAAATGACTGCCGGGAGTCTCTAGTCACAACTTTGCACATGGGCGGTACAGATAAGATGGTCGTTTATGCACTGGGATCTAGGCAGCATGGTCCTGTCTGTGCGACTGAGCAGCCCTTACAAGGAGACACTCTGCTCACCCCATAAGGGGAGGGGGCAAAAAAAGGTGCCCTAAACATAGCCTGCCTAAAAACCCAACCTGACTGGGCAATCGCACCCACTAAGGTCATCCTTATGCGGTCGAAAACACAATCAAAATAAACAGATCCAAACAAAAACAAACCATACAACCTCTTATGGTCACTGCATGTAGTGTCAGGACCCTTCTGGATACTGGCACAAATGAGCATCCTGAAAGAAGAACTGCCCTTGTGGCAAAAGAGCTGGCTAGGTATAACATCGACAGAGCAGCAATTAGTGAGTCCCGGCTCCCAGATGAGGGTAGACTCACAGAACAGGGGTCTGGCTATACCTTCTTCTGGAAGGGTAAGCCTGCTGTGGAGAGAAACCACATTTATGGAGTTGGCTTTGCCATCCACCAATGCATCCTACACAGGCTAACTGAAATGCCTATTGGGATAAACGAGCGCCTCATGGCGCTTTGAGTCCCACTGAATCACTCACGTCATGCCGTTTTCATCAGTGCATACCCCCAACACTGGATGCAGAAGATGACATCAAGGAGACCTTTTATGCCGACCTCGACAGAGTGCTAACCTCTATCCCGAGAGAAGACAAGGTTGTGCTCCTTGGCGACTTCAATGCCAGAGTTGGCAGAGATGCTAACATTTGGCAGGGAACCATAGGGAGAAATGGACTACGCAAGTGTAATCCCAATGACCTACTCCTCCTCAGCAAGTGTGCTGCTCACAGCCTCACTATCACAAATACCTTATTTAGGCAGGCCGACAAGTTCAAGGGATCGTAGCAACACCCACGATCCAAACACTGGTATCTGATTGGCTACATCATTGTCAGAGAAAGAGATCGCCGAGATGTCCTCATCACCCATGCCATGCGTGGCTCAGATCACCGCGACACCAATCATCAACTTGTAAGATCCAAGCTCTCACTTCATGTCGCCCCAAAATGGAGAAGGCAGCAAGCCTCCTGAAGAGGTTTTAACACTAAGCGTCTGGAGGATCCAGCGATAGCACATGCTTTCTGAGAGCAGCTCCAACAGGGGCTTATAAACAAACCAACTGCAGACAACGTGAATCCCAGTGCCGAATGGGATACTCTTAATACTGTTATAACAAAAATCTGCAGAAAGACCCTTGGCCAGATCAAAAGATTATGCCAGGACTGGTTTGATGAAATAACCCAGCAATCAAGGTACTCATCGATGATAAACGTGCTGCATTTACTGACTGGCAGAACAACCCTCAGACTCAGACCAAAGCTGATACCTTCCGCAAGAAGAAAGCAGCAGGCCAACAGGAACTTCGCAATCTAAAGAACGACTGGCTTAAAAATAAAGCATGTGAAACACAAAAACTTGCAGATCAGCACAAGATGTGCGAATTTTTTATTTCCACTAAAACATTTTATGGGCCAGTCACTCGTGGTGCAGTCCCCCCTCCGCTCATCTGAAGGTAGCCTCATAATTAAAGACAATGAAGGCCTCCTTCAGTGCTGGAAAGAGCACTACCATTCATTGCTAAACCGAAACACCGATGTGGATAAGTATGCACACTTCGGCCTTGAGGTGAATGTACGTAAGACTCAGATTCTCTTTCAACCTGCCCCTGGTTCACACACACCTCCACCATCCACCCAGTTTAACAGTACTGTACTACCATCTCTAATGTTACCCACTTTCGGTATCTCGGCTCCCACCAGTCCACCACCGCAGACATGATGAAGAAATTCAGCATCGGATCAGATGTGCATCTCACACCGTGGGCAGACTCTGAAATCGTGTCTTCAGTTGTAGGGAGCTGAAATTATCCACAAAGTTGCACGTATATCGAGCAGTGGTCCCTGCCCACCCACTACAGGTACTCCTCGACTTATGACCTATTCGACATACAACGACCCAGATATACGACCGCCGCAGTCGTACAAATTTTTTTCTTCAAATTACGTATTTTCAAGTCCCTACGTTAGTGATCGCGCTGTGTACTAACAAAATTTTCGTTTGTAGATGACTCTTTATGGCCAAATCACTCTGTCACCAACACTTCAATGTTCAGGGTGTCACCTCTGCCTCTTTTATCTTCATCAACAATATTTCACAAACATTTTAATGACTTGACGTGTTAAGTGGGAATTTTTCTTCTTTGTTTACAAATACAGTAAAAGAGCTAGAAAGTTGGGTTTTGTGGACAACCAAACACAAGGTACTAAACTAATTAAAATTTTATACCTGTATTCAGAAGGCTTCAACTTTTACAACAATAGTATTGATCAGTGGAAAATGTCCACGTGCTGTCTGTAATGAAGGTGTTGACAACAACACAAAAACATGCAATGAGTGTGAAAGGCTGGTACACAAGACGTGTAACGGAGTAGATGGCAGAGTGCAGGATGTTGCTGACTTTATGTGTTGTGTATGTGCAGTTAACTAGAGAAACTCAACATTGTGGATATGTCCCTGGACTGTGTCAATGAGTTCTGTTACCTGGGTGACATGATCACTGTTGGTGGGGGTGCTGAAGCCAGCTCAGTTGTAAGAGTCAGAAATTGCTGCAGGAATTTTAGGGAGCTGCTGCCTTTATTGACAAGTGGACATTTCATCCGAGTGAAAGGAAGAATATGCAGGTACAGTATACTGTATATGGCTGGTGTGAGAAGTGTGATGTTGTATGGCAGTGAAACATGGACAGTTAAAGAGGATCACATGAGTAGACTTGAGTGAGCTGAAATGACAATGGTGAGATGGATGTGTAATGTGACACTGAAGGACAGAAGGCCCTATTCAGAGCTAAGAGGGTGACTGGGCATTGAGAGTACAGTACGGTACTGTATTAGTGAATTCCTACATAGAGGCAGGCTGAGATGGTTTGGACAAATGGAGATAATTGATGAGCCCATAAGGTCAAGAGGTGCATAAGCCTGAATGTGGAAGGAAGAGAGCAAGGAGTAGGCCAAAAATGACATGAGCAGAGGCTGTAAGAAAACCATTAAGAGTTAGGATCCTCAAAAGAGAGTTTACAATAGCCTGTGCAGCATGGAGAGCTACCATCAGGTAACAGTGGCGAACCCAGACAACTGTAGAAAATGGCCATAAAACAATGATGACAATGACAGTCCTTCACATTGTAATAAGCAACAAAAAAGTGTAATAAGAAATCTACTGTACTCACTGCTGACTACAATCTCACACAAATATAATGAAGGCATCAGGGAGGTGAGGTGAGATGAAGAGCTTCTCTTGTGTTGTGTGCATCTGTTGTGCTCAAATTACTTGATAAGATAGTAAAGATGATGGATCTATATCATCTGACCGGAAGAAGAATGATTGAGGTGTAGTCTGGACTCGGTTGGTACACAACTACACATGAATGTAGCCATTAAAGGATTCAACAGTCTGAGTGCAAATATAGTACGACAACTAATATTTTAAGTGTATTCCCAGTTTGGCGGAAAAGGAAGCCAACTATAGCCAGACTTTCAAGTGATGAAATATGAAAAAAGAAACTAGAAGCACTAAAGACTTGCATAAATGATTGATACATCCAAAGTTCAAAGCTGCTTCAACAACAAATCATTCACTATACAGTATATTAAATCTTATGTGTTTGAAATAATAAAGCATCATAAGAAAATTACTCACTAGTTTTGCTGTACTGTAGTAGAAAAGAGGGATGAATACTCAACAGTGAGAGAAGATCCATCGAGGAATGGATGCAAACTACCATCTGACTGGGGACAATACCTTACCTTTTCTGGCGTGTTATTGAGCGAGTGAGACCAATAACAAGACTCTCTAGCGGGGTACCACACATAGGAGGCACGGCCACTCTGCCTGCCTTCCTCTCCCCGACCAACACCTCCGCTGCCCGTCACATGCCTCAACCTCGCACTCTCACTACTAGATGAGTGTAGTGCCAGTCTTCTGGGTACTGACAAGCTAATATATCCAACACCGAGATGCTGGAGCTCTGGAGTGAGGTACGGGGTGCAACGGGCCTTACGGTGGTGTTTGTTTACAAGGGGCGTGTGTTGCTGTACAAGCTGGTCTACTCTGGGGTTGGGTTTCAGATGGGGACAGCTGCTGGGGCATGACAGTGGAACATGACTTACTGCAGACACCTGCTGCTTGTCTCCCTCTTGTTGTGGGGCGTTGATTGTTGGCGTTGGCTCCTCTTTCCCCACTCCCTCCTGCGTCGTCCCACTGGAGTCCGAGGCATTTTGTTTGTCGTCTTTATCCTGACTAATCACTGTATCAGCATTTAAACTTACAGCATCTTGTTCTACCGAGGAAGAAGTTGGAGACCCTTCTGGTATGGTTGACAGTTGACTGTTTGAGGAGTGTTCCCCTACATCCTCGACTGTTTCTTCCTCTGCTACAGGTGTCAATGAAGCGCTTTTCTCCTCAACAACAGCTTTCTCCTAAACAGAAAAAATAAGTCACTAATTGTTTACACTGCTTCAGATAAACTACAGATAGACCCCGACTTACGACGGGGTTAGGGACCCAAATCCAGGTCGTAAGTCCGACATGGTCGTAAGTCCGACATAGAAAAATAAATAATCTACAATGAAATACAGTACAGTAAAAGTAATGAATAATAAATGGATAGTACAGTGAAAGTAATAAATAATAAGGAATGGTTACAGTGTGACAGCACTTACCTTTAATGTAGTCAGCTGAATGCACATGGGGCCCCCATAATTTTCTAATTATACATGGAGACTACATTAACTGGAAACGTTTCGGTATAGAAAATGCGTGTGTCATTTGAAAAAAAAAAAAAAAAAAAAAAAAAAAAAAAAAAAAAAAAAAAAAAAAAAAATTTAATAAAAAATCTGCGGCAGTCTTAAGTCCCGACGGTCGTAAGTCGTAGCAGTCGTAAGTCGGGGTCTGTCTGTAGTTGTAATTACCTAAGCTACACAATAAATGACCTAACATGCTAGTTCCTGTCCCAAGTAACGTGTTTATGATAAATGAGACTGTAGATACAAGGTGACACACCACTCTATTGTCATGGAATTCATCATTACGTATATGAAGGAATCTCAAAAGGTTCTGCTACTCAGGGATAATTTAATAAACTAATTTTCTGGTAATATAAAGTTGAATGATTAGGAATTTGCTTCTGTTAATTTTATACAGTTATTGTTTGAGTGAAAGTTATAAGTATGATGTCTGAGACTATTATAGATTTTGGCTAAAAGGAGTGGCATAAAATTCCCAATTAAAGAAAGTTACACAGCAACAGATAGTGAACAGTGGATGTGCCTCAGCAAGGTGGACCAAAGAATTGAGGAGGACCCCCAATCAAGACAGCCTTCAGAAATCAACACTGAGGCAACTGCATCCCGGGCTGTGAGCTCGAGTATGATGTGTACCAAAGTCAATGATATAAGCACGATGGTAAGAATTTCACACAGGAAAATCATGACCATCATCCAGGAATATTTGGGAATGTTTAATGTCTCTGCAAAATGGGTTCCCTGACGTCAACACTCAGGATCAACACCAGAGAATATAAGTCACCAGCTTCTTCAGCTATACAGTATGTAGCCCATCCAGCCAACTTTTTATCCTGTCTGGTAATGGGAGATGAGACCAGTAGTTCAAAAGTCAACCTTCTATCAGGTTGCTAAAGGGATTCTGTTGACCTACTCACTACCTGCCACATAAGACAAAGATCACCAGTGACTTACTATCAGTGTTAACCTAAAGTAAGAACTACACATTATTATCTGGAAGAAACAACAAAGAATGCTCCTCTTCCACAACAATGTACCAGTCAGTCCACTAACCCCATGTTGCACACATGTCTAATCATGACTGTTATTTTTTAATAACTCACCCACCCTCCCTACAGCCCAGATTTGGCCCGAAGCAACTATGGTCTACTCTGAGGACACTGTATTTAGGATGATGAGGTGGTGAAGGAGGCTAATACAGTGTGATCTAAGAAACACTGGGAAGACTGGTACACTACAGTATACAGTAGTGATGGTGAAGCATGTTACTCATACAGTATCTCTAACTCACAACTTACTTCATCATAAAATACCTACTTCAAAACACTGTACTATAATAGGTTCATTACTCAATAGATCCTTGTACAGGTAGTAGGCAGCTACCAAACAAGGCGGTACTACACCCTGGGAAGATATTGGAAGCATAATGTGTTGTCTAATGGAAGACCCTGCTGCCATATGGCATCATTAAAATTGTGACCAAGTCCCAGGTTGCTGATCTGACTTTCTGCCTCATTTACACACAATTGCAAGGTCTCAATTTTTTTTTTTACTTTGGCAACACAACATACAGTAAGTCCTCCATTAACGTCGGGGCTACATTCCTAAAAATGTGACGTTATACGAAACAACGTTAAGTGGATCAATTTTCCCTATAAGAAATAGATGAAATACGGAAGTTCCGTTCCTGAGCCTCCCTTTGCCCCATGAAATACATTGCATACACAGAAAAATATTGCCATTTCTATAGAAAATAATGCACACATATACAACTACGTACTAAGTTTGTATTGGTACTCAGTGATGGGCGGAGGTGGTAGAGCGAGTGTGTGATGGGTAGTGAAGCAGAGGAGGCGGATGGCGGGGAGTAAGGTGGGAGTGGAGGAGGAGGGTGAGTCACTGAGACTCTGCGCCAAGCCAGGAGAGCGTAGCGCTGCCAGACGAGAGCGGGTGATGCACAGTAAAATGTAGTCCGTGACGACACAAAACGACGTAGTATTGGATCACCGGGACGTTAAACAAATTTTTGGTCTCTAAAGTTTAGCGACGTAGTACTGAAACAAAGTTAAACGGGACGACGTTAAGCGAGAACTTCCTGTGCATATATCATTTATTACTACGTATTGAATTTTTTTTTATGGTCCTTTAATATTATTAGTACAGGTTGTACCTCTCTAGTCTGGTAACCTCAGGACCTGACTGGTGCCGGACCATGGAAATTCACCCTTTTCCTGGATAGATAGTGACTTGTGCATACACTTGGAAGCACTCACACCAATTTCACTGCTTCGTGGTCTCTTTGAAGACATTTGAAGGGTTAAATGTTGTACAGTAGGTTCTCAAATTTCGTGAGTTTTTAATTCGACGTTTTTTATTTGGACACAAAAAAAACCCACTGCACAATTTAAAATTTTGATGGGTTTGAGCGGCCCACCAACGTTCAGACGTGCACAATTGTGTAAACAGCGTCATTTCTCTATGTACAAAAGATTCATTATTGTTTATTACTGAATGTCTTTTTGATTGAATTAATGTTTGTGTGCAAAATGAACAATATAATTCATTAATAACACGTATTGTGTCTGGTGAAGTTTATTTACTTGAGATATTTGTTTTTAGCTCATAAAATTCATATAAATTACCTGGCCAGAATACAATTTACATTGCTGGAATTTATATAAGATAGTGATTAATTTGAATATAAACAAGCTAAAATTTGCATTAGACATACAAATTTTATATCTAATTTAAGAATTTTTTTAGAGAGAGCAAAAATTTTATCTTTTGTGCAAAATATATGACGTTTATATTCAAATTATTTGCTGTCTTGCAAGGAATCCAGCAATGTAAATTATATTCTCCTAAATATAGTCTGAGGTATTATTTATTATTAACCTAAAAGCCCAGTCCTCTTCCCCAAACATTTTTCTGGGAGGGAGGGAGCCAGCGAGCGTGGGAAGAGTTGAGTCCATTATTTGAACGGACATTAACCGGCAACTGTATTTCTCTTAAATATTAATTGTGTGTGCATACCATCATAAAATTAAGATGTTATTTTTACTACAAGGTACGTATTGTCGGAAAAAGTGGAGTTTTGGGGGTCGGCCCAGTCTCTATTTCAATTAATCCCATATGTTCTGTTATTTAGTTTACGCGTTTCTCGGTTTACGCGGACGTCCACGGGTTCAATTGACCACATAAATCGAGACCATATACTGTATTTTTATTTAACATTTTTTTCAATTTTTTATTAATTATTATTATTATTATTATTATTATTATTATTATTATTATTATTATTATCATTATTATTATTATTATTATTTCATCTTCACCCCCAGGCCCTGATATGGGTCATTGACCTGTGCCCTGGTGGGCTAATCCCGTAAAAAAAAAAAAAAAAATAAAGACCTCCCTAAATTGGACTACTGTATCATACACAGTATGGGGCTCAAGGCCATCCAACTTAGAGGGGTCTTACTGCCACCCTTGAAAATCCTGTTAAAATTTTATGCATAAAAGGTTATTAATGTTAAACACTTTCTCACTCTCAGTTTCTTGTGAGGCCGAGTGTAACTCTTCCACTAAAACTGCCTCTCCCCTTCAACATGTAACCTGCTGCTGTAAGCACACACAGGCACTTCCTATATCAATAAATACACCGACTTCCTCTACAGCGTGTAAGGTGGCCTCTGTCTCAGCCCAGGGCACAATATTACCTTATCATTGCATCTTTTCCTCAGAGCACTGCACATACCTGAAAACAAATCCGGCCATATTGTCAACATTGTGGAAACTGCAGACCATGACCTTGATGTTAGCAAGTGCTGGAAGGAGTGCAAGATTGCAAACTGCATCACCAACATCAATGAAACATTGAAAGAGCCCAAATAAGACACAGTGAATGTTTGTTGGCAAACCCTGTGGCCTGTGTGTGTTAACACTTCCAAGGATTACCGTCCAAATAAAAGGATATCAATGACATTGTGAGTGTTGCATATCACTCGAGTGGTCTAGGGTATGTGGACAAGGTCACAGAAAACATGGAAAACTGACTGATGGGCACAGAGAGAAACTGACAGTAGATCATTGGAACAGTTGGTAAAATGTGCCGAGGAAGACGACGAGGAAGAAATTTTAATATTACGGTAGGGTCGTGATATATCGCGACTTTATGTAACTTTTTTAAGTACAGTTGTACCCCACTTAACACGGTTAATAGAACCCAGAGGGTCCCGTGTTAAGTGAAATCCGCGTTAAGTGAACAACAGAACATATGGGATTACAGTTTTACCCCGCCTAACGCGGTTTCACTTAACGCGTTTTATCATATACGCGGTGCCTCGCCAGAGCTGAACTTTCACTTAACACGGATTTTTTCCACATATACGCGGTGAGTGTCCGGCTCCAGACGCTATTTTTAGATTTGCCCCACCCGCCACCCTGCCTGACTGCCTGTTTTAGCTCATAAAATTCATACAAATTGCCCGGTCAGAATATAATTTACATTGCTGGAATTCTTATAATTTGGTGATCATTTTGAATATAAACATCATATATTTTGCATTAGACATACAAATTTTAGACAAAAATTTTTCTCAGAGTAACTATGTTATCTTTTGTGCAAAATATATGACATTTATATTCAAAATATTCCTGGTCTTACAAGGAATCCA